AATTTTTCAGAATGGCATAAAGTTTTACAAACTTTAATTAATCATAATTAATTTTAACAAATTGGTTTAAATAAGAACCTAATATGTTTTTCAACCATTTTTTATGTCCCCAAACATTAACTGATAAAATTGTTACACTCATACCATCCTAAAAACAAAAGAGTTACCCCGAATCATATTGTTCCAAAAATTTTTTTTCGAATAAATTTAAACTTAATTTTAACTTAGATCAAACACCATTTGTTAACCTTCACCATTTCATAGGTCAGCTGTTAATAAAACCAAATAAATTCATAAAAAACTCGAATATGGTTAAAACAATTATTCCAATTATTTAAACCACCTAGTAAAATAACCTAGTACAACACTCACACTTTGCAAAAACCTCTATAAAATTTGATCCTTTTAGGTTGATTTTCAAATAAAATATATAAAATTAAATAGAAAATAAAAATGTTAAATGATTTGAGTTTTCTAAGTAAAATTTTTTTTATTTTTTTGTTTTTGAATTTGTCATTCAGATACATTAGAAGAATTGAAAAATTGACATCACCCCTTTTTTAAATAAAGGTGTGCGCGTGTTCTATACAATTAATAATTCTAATAGGTTATTTTTTTTTTGTTTTCATTAAAATTACACCCTTTTATAAAATATAACCATTATAGTAGCAGCAAATCACGCAATCTAAATATGCTGCTGTGTTTTTGAATATTGTACCGTTTTTTATTTTTCTTCTTTTTGCCTATATTTTGATTGTGTCTCAATTATTGTCGAAGGATTTATCTTATACAGCGCATTTATTGTGTGTGTCTACAGTGTGAAAAATTATGTGAATAAAATGAGAATGATTGGTGCATTTATATGAAAAATGGAAAAGGTAATAAGACTATAATAGAAATTATTTTATTTCACCTGGCATTTTGGACAATTTGACCAGTGCGCAGCGCAATCTAAAATATTTATATAGATAGTTAAACAAGATAACAAAAATGACTTTTCCTAAATTTCATAATGTTGCATATAATAAAAAATTAATTGACCTTTATAATTTTTAATTATATTTCGCATACACCAAATATCACGATAATATTTTTGAATTAATTTTATTACTGGAAACAATAGCTATTGATTGGTATCAAAAATTTTTCATGGATTCTAATTTTAATATTACAGAACGGTCCTGAAATTCTTTGGATAAAACAGAAAAACACTTAATCATACACTGCCACCTAATCATAGAAAATCCACAAAATTCCATTTACAATGGATTTGTCCTAAATCTACTCAGCGAGTGTAACAAAATGCATTGTACACTGAAATCGAACTTAACTAGTGAAATTTGGTAAAATACAAAACCTGTTATTCTTGCGTTCAAGTATCGTTTTCAAGGATTTCCATCACATTACAACATTAAAACACCATTTTTAGCCATAGACACTCGAATACATCAACAGGAGTCTCAAAGACAAAATTTAACGTCGTAATCTCTAGAAGCTTAAGAATATTATTTCCTAAACTATTGAGGTTTTTTGAAGACCAACTATAAAAATTAAAATTTAAGAAATTGAAATTTTGCTTTGCATATGAGTGCATATTACTTGCGTGTGAAACTCTCAGGCTTTATAATTTTCTTGTAATGAAAACAGTATTTACATGTAGGATGCTAGTATATTTCTTCGGGCTCTAAAAGAAAGTGAACTAGTATTAGTAGCTGCTTATCGATTCTTATTTTTCATTTTTGAAAGGAGTAATTAACAGTAAGGTGATATTGTTTTATTAATGGTGTCTCCGATCAGCCTTCTTATTAGTCTCGTACTATAAATTTAATTCAATTTTTCGGAATAGGAATGGAAGTATTATTCATATAGTTTGAGGCTAAGAAATATAATTAAATTATACAAAATATTATTCAGGTTCTTGTCAAAATACAAATTAATAAAAAAAAATTTTCATTTTGAGACTGCTATCTCAAAAATGACAAACAGTTTTTTTTTAAAATTGAGTAAAAAAAACGGATGTATAACAACGGGATTGAATGTTTATTTTATTAAACATATGTATGTATATACATATTTAAGAAAAAAAATTGAAATTATTATTTTATGTGTTGTCCCACAATGTTTTTACCCATAATTCTATATATAAGGGCTCTAATTAAAATATCTAATGAAACAGATTTCCATATAAACACACACGTCGCTTATTAAACTCTCTTCACCTACATATATTATAATCATAATATTAAAATTGAAATAATTATAATCTCTTTCGCATAATAAGCTGCAGGAGACGACCGAAATCTAAATGAAAAATCATAAAATATATAATAACATAAAAATGAAAAACGGAAATATTATAATGTAAAAACAACATTCGGTGGTGGTTTTTCAAATTACATGCATATAAACAACAAACATGAGAACCAATAAGTAACAATAGTGTGCTACTACAACAATACCAACAACAAAATATGTAAGTATTTCATTAGCAACCCTAAAATATAGGCAAGAAAAAATTATTTTATTTTTGTTTTTTAATAAGTACACTTACATCTGCGCAACGATATAAAAATTGGGTATTACAACAATATTATAAATAAATAATAAGGACTTTTAATTTTCGTGACGTCATCATTATAATACCAAGGATTATAATATGCAATATCAAAAAATATTATTTTTATTTTCATATCATTTAAATGTGGGATAATTTTTGATTTTTTCGCAAAAAAAAAAATATGACATTTGTTTGCTCTCAAAATGTAAATAAAAACGTTAAAATAATAAAAATATCAAAATGTATAGAAGTATGGCAGGAATAAAGGATATGATCTGATAAAAAAAATTTTTTTAATGTCCTCTTCATCGAATAATACAATTATCACAGCGATGACATCTAAAAAATGTTTTAGTATAATAATAATGATGACATTTAACAATAAGAGAAGAATTGCGAGAACTTCAATAATATGAGAGAAAATTACAGAGTGTTTAAATTATTTTTCGGTGATTAGAATCTCATAAATTTGTAATGGGAAGAATATGGTAGAAGAAAAATAAAATACGCTCTCAATACTCGCTATCGCTCAATACTCTCATTTATAAAAAATATATTTTTAACATATTTTATGAACTAATTATACAATTTTCAGTGACGTTTTACAAAAATATTCTATTTTAACAAAAATTTTGAAAAGAGAATTCACGTTCATATTTTCTCTATCAGGATGTGTTTAAATTTTTTAAGATAATTCTCGAAACCCAAATATTCGCTATGAATTATACTTTTGTAATATGAACACTTTTTCATGAGCTCATAAAGCATTCTAACAAATAAATATAATGAATGTGATCACCCTGTACGCTAATATAATTAAATCTTTAATAATCATGTGTAAGTCACTTCCCCCTACTGTTTTATTATCAAAGTACGCAATATATGTATTACACAGTGCCTTGCATATTATACAATTCTATAATCATAAACTGCAAGATAAAGACCCTCTAGCCATATTTTTACTTTTTGTTTTTAATGATGAGATTTTGATATTCATACCATCAGTTCAAGTTTACACAATAGATGATCACCCAAGATTTTACAGTAAATTTCACAGAAAACAGTATTTAAAAAAAAATTAAGAATTAAAATAATACTGACAATGACACCATAATGATCACACGCCGTTCGCGCGGATTTTTTATTTTATTCGTTTTTTTTTTTTTGCTTTTAATAAGTAGTCTTTAACTTTTTTTATATTGTCATTTTAATAAAAACGTCACTTTTATACGCGAATTGTGATTTCAAATAAATATTAGGGATTAAAATTTATGAATTTTTAATTAAAATAACTGCAACTTATTTTTTAAGTTGGTGATAATAGAAATGTGTGTATATATATTCATATTGACTGAGTTTTGTTTGAACAAGATCAGGAAAAGAAGAATAAATAAATTCGTGGTTTAAATTGTATTTTTTTTTGAAAAAAACACTAGTTTGATTACACAATAATAGTTACAATTATTGTGCTTATATTCAAAGCATTGAAAAATGACATTACCAATGATAAGAGCAAACAACTCTGAAAAATGAGAACTCCATTCCGCCGAAAATATTTTATATTGTAATTGGACGATTATTAATGGTAAATTAATAAGATACTCGAAAAACAAAATAAAAAGAAAGTTTTGTTAGGGTCTCTGAATTTTACGTTCAAATTACAATATAATTTAGAAATTAAAGAAAAAAATTTAAAAAAGAAACCTAAATTGTTCCTCTTTTCCCAACTTGATTGGTTTGTTAACTGACGTGGTCGGTGCAACAGGTTCACCGTACCCCAATTAGCGAAAATATGCTATTTACAACTACCCCGTGATCGCCAGGCCGTCATTAAGCGTACGATTTCATGTGGTCTAAGCCTTCCGGTACTCTTGAGGAATATATTTATGTAAATCCACTAAGCCAATCTTCTATACCGCGTCTTACCCATCACACATTCTCTGCCCCAAATGACTAGTCTTTCCCCACCCAGAGCCGAACAATTACAGATATAGAGAAAAATGGTCTCTTTTTTGTCCCTTTCCCAACACCTGCAACACGTTGTGTGGAAGGGCAATCTCAGCCTAGCCGCATGCTCCCTCAACGACTAGAATCATTATATTATGGTGGCCGGGGGCCAAAATAAATGTGACACTATTACAAGTGCACAGCCCCGCTAGCTCCCGACAGTATTGGTTCACCGACCTTCGAGCCAACTTCCCAATTTACTTGCTATTGTAATAATTCAACTAGCACTTTAAAATAAAATATAAAATAACTTAGAAAAAGCTTTTAATGAAATTGAATAATTCTAAATTAAATTTAGTTACAGCTAAATCCGGATATGTTATTGTTATAAAAGACTCGTGTTATTCGAATTTGTTTTAGATATTTTACCTACCTACATCAATCAACTACCAACCTACAAGCTAAATTCCATTAAAATCGAAAAATTTACACTTACCACTTTCTCTATCACTTCCCGATCTATTTTCACTATAATTTAATCCATTACTAAAAACGTCCAATAATTGTATAGGACCTTTTGGATTTGATTTTAATTCATCACCAGCTGAAATGTCCTTACATACTTCATACCATACCTGAATAAAATTTATATATGCACATTAAAAATAATTTATTTCATTTAATATGATATTAATACTTTTGTTTCAAGGTAAGTAATTCTAATAAAATTCATATAGGTAAGCTTTTACATTACAAAAATCCCTATACTTACATAACATCCAGCTAAAAAATGTTTAACATTAACTTCAGATGAAACTAAAACTGTTTTTAATTTATTTAACCATCTTGATCTCGGTAATAATTCTAACCAACCACTAACATTTGGAATTCCAGCAATCCCCTAAAAATTAAATAATTTTATTATATTAGTAATATAAATTTAATTATATTTAAAATTATTATAAAAGAAAATTTTTAAAATTTTAAAATATTCAATTAAAAAATAAAATAATTTAAGAAATATTAAAATTATTTTGGAATCAGAAACCTCTTAAAATAATATCAATTAGGTAAAGAGAAATTTAAATATTTTAAGCGAAATGAGCGACATCTAATTTTAATATTAAACAATTGGTTTGTGTCTAGAGTGGAAATTTGTTTCAATCTAATGTTTTCTGCTGTAATTTGTATGCATTTCTGCTGTAATTTGCATTTTGAAGAGAATTGAAAGAGATATAGAACATAATTTCCTTATTTAAAAGAGAAATATTTAGATTGCAAATTTTTAAGAGACATTAGAGATCACGGCATCAGTACTAGTACATTTATAACAATTATTATATTTGTGTACACACAATATTGCAATTTATTATAATAAGTAAATAATGGGTTCGATTAGTTTGGGTCCGATTTAGCTTAATATGTGCGTGGTACGTATATTAATTAAATAGTCATTCTAATTGAAATCTAAATATATACAGGTATTAAGGATATATGTATGTATATAATAGGCTAATATAAATGAATATGTACTTTGCGATATTGTAAATGTACCGTGAAACAGGTTTTATTTGATTAAATAAACAGCAAAAGATTAAATTATAATTTGTGTATTTAATTTTGTGAAAGAGAGACTTAATAACTATATGTAAAATGTGTGTCATATGATTTAAAATTACGTTCTAAATAAAATATTTTTCAAAGCACTAGCAATATATTCATTATAACAGCAGCATAGACAAAATATTAGATATATAATGTAGTAAAACCAGACCAAAAAATCATTCATTCCCAAATCAAAATATCACCTATATATACGTACATAATACATCTATATACAATTAATTTAACGAATGTAAATTGGTACTTATTCTTTAAGTTAAAAATCGTAAACTTTCTAATTTCCAAAAAAAACATCAATATTACAAAATTATTGCTAGCTTTTCCTTTAGTTTCCGCAAAAGATGACCAAACTAATTATTATTGTAATCGCGCTATTTACCTTCCGCAACATTAATCATTCATTACATAATTAATTATATTTTAACTGAGAAAAACCTTTATTACATAACAATATCTATAAATAATTTTATGATTAAGTAGTGAAAAACCACTGTAACAAATTTTTCAAATCCTTCTTCCTTTATTGAACAAGCACATTTTATGTAATTCAAAATATTTTTATTTGTACTTCTTATTCATGAATCTTACAAAATTACAATAAAAAATTATACCCGAAATGAAAATTTGACTGTCCTTTTTTTTTTTTTTTCAAAATCCTCCTTTAATTTAATTTTCAATTTATGCTCAGTTAATTTTACAATTCCCAATAAAAATATTATGTGTTACGCATGTTCTCAGAACAAAGATTCTTAGTACCTGAATGTCATCATGTTTAGGGTTTCTTGTTTTGGAAAAAGAAATGTTTTACCTTTGATGATGATCACTTCATCAAAGGATAATAAAAACAAGAAAAATCATTTATTTTTGAGTACTATTGCATGTCATATACGTTATACCAATAGAAGCATAGAAGAATTTTTATGCTACTCGCTAAAGTTGAATTTTTTCATCAAATTTGTACATCTGTTTTATTTGCACAAACAATAATTATTATTATTGATGATGATGATGATGATGAAAAAAGATGCGAATAAATAAAAATAAATAAGTAAATATAATTCTAGGATTTATTTTTTTTTTTATTTTAATCCTTAACGCCGTCGTGCTACTGAATTTCGTTGTTTCTTTTTTGTTGTGCAAAACACATGAAACTGATAAAATGAACAATTTTTCAATAAAGATTCTATATATAGAAAAGATAAATGAAAAAATTCGTCCTTTTTATCAGTTTAACATTCTATGATTGTATTTTTATCCTTCATAACTCTACTCATACATATATGGAACAAAATATTATACGAGGATTTATTTTGTCCTTTTCTTGTCAATTTTCTCTTTGCAAAATAATTTCTATTGCTAATTTACAGCTAGGATTTAAATTGACTGTCGAAAATAAATTGTAAAATTTAACAAAAAATTTTTTTTTGCTATTTTTCACACTATCAACATTCTAGTCTTGTATCTTAGATACCTAGCCAAAGTCTAGTTCGATTGTATAAAATTTTACCGCATTGTAAAGTAATAGAATATTGTGTAAAATGAAACTGATAATAATCCTCAAAAAAAAAAAGAAGGATCTTAATCCTTATCAGATTTTAGTAAGGAAAGACAGATAATGAAGAGAAAAAAAAGAGAGAAGAATTCTTCAAAAGGAAGGTGATAATATAATGAGATCATTTTGTAACCGAAATTTTCATTTATTCAATTATAAATGGTTATAATAACTATGAAGATTTTCAGGGATTTACTTTTGAAATTTTTTTTTTTTAAATCTTGGTAATTTTAATTAATTAGATTTGATTTTTAAGGTAGCTAAAGGAATAGTTATATTCAAAGGAAGAGCAGAAATTTTTTGAATTATTTTAATGAAATTGGGTTTTAGAATAAAGCGCAAACTCAAATTTTAATTTTGATTTTTATTTGACTATTCTTCATAACACAATCTACCATAATAATTCGGTCCTCCGCGTCTCACAAGTTGGCCGAGTACATCAGGGCAGTGGATCTCAAGCGTGTGGCGTAGGGTCGCACCCCGCACTTAGGGGGGAGGGGCACAATAGATCCTTATGCGTGGTCACAGTGCACTATTACCTCGCTTTTACAAATCTACAAATTTAGAATCTACCATAATAATCAATTTATTTGCTCTAAAATGAAGCTTTGAATTTGAAACCACCTCATATTTTTCAAATTAAATAAATCCAGATACCGAAAAAAAAAATCCAATTCTTTGCTCTCCTCACTAGAGATAAAGTTTAAAAAAATTCCAATATTTAGTTTTTTTTTTGTATAATTTTTGTAAACCTTTCTGACTCTTTGAAATTTTTTTTTTACTTTATGTGCAATTTATGTTATCCTTTTAAGGAAGAAAAAGATATTTTTGTCCTTTAGGAAAAACTTTTTATATTTTATGTAACATTTTTCTTTTACGACAAAAAAAAAAGCTTCACTTTTTCATTAAATTTTCTTTTATTCGCATTTAACACGCTTAAAATCATCCCAATCAACAATAAAAACAACTTGATAAAAGGAGAGCAAAACAAAAATAAATAAATAAAAAAAAAAACAAAGAATGTAAGAACAACTAAAATTTGCTTTTGCTGAATTTGGAAAAGAGAAAAACGACTTGAATCAATAAAAGCAGAAAACTGAAGAAGAAGAAGAAGAGAAACGACGACAAAACAAAGACTGAAATGGAGAAAAAACAAATTTTAATTTAATGTATAAGGCAATTGTTCTTTCAAAAGAGGAAAATTTGAGTAAAATAACAAAAAAATTCATCTATTTTATATTTTATAAACCCAAAACCAGAAATAAAAGATATAAATAATATGCAGACGTGTATATGTGTAGGTGAAATTTCTTTGATTGCAAAATAAAAGGAATTTTTCACAAAATTTTCTTCTATGCTCTTCAAAGTTTTCTTGAGTTTCTATATTATATTCTTTCATATCCTTTTTTTTTCAATTAATTTTGTTTTATTAAAATAACGCTACATTTCCGCCGACATTTTTTGTATGTATGCATTTAATAGGTTCTATAGTAAGGTAGAAATATAATTTTTAATGATGAAGGTAAGACAAAATTTGATGAATAATTCATCAAAATTACTTAAAATCAATTTCCTAATAAATTTTAAAAAATTTATATGAAATTTTAAGATCAAATTTTACTTCCAATTAATTTTATTAAAGCTCAACAAAATAGTATTGGGTAAGAAGAAGATTATTATTGCTAATTTGCTCTTAGAGTAATTCAATGATCGCTTATGGAATCGGAGAAACAGAAGTCCGAAAACTGAAATTTTGACTATGTACTTAAAAGGCAAATAACTCGGAGGGGTATACAAAATAATGTATTTCTTATAAAACAAAATATAAATCGATATCTTAAAGCGGTTCATAGTTAAAACACATCCCAGTTCAGTGTAGAAGATGAGTAAGAAATTACGAAAGGGAAAAGAATCTACAATTCCCAACTTTTCAGGGTTTCGTGGATCAATGAGTTTCTTCTCGTTTGGACAGATTGCTCTTTGTCAAAAACAAAACTACCATTTTCACAACATTGAAGGAGCTATAAATTTCAGGCGATGGGAATATACAGAACAAAAATTATTTTAGAGAAATAATAACCTTCACTAAGATCTTTCTGATAAAGACAAATTCAATTCTAGGACAATTGGGAACTTACAAATTTGACCCTTTTTTGAGTTGACGTCAGAAGTCATTATTAAGCTGAACAGATCCAAAAACAGTTAATATTAAAATAAATTTTTTTTGATATACTGCAATTTCATATTTAAGGCATTTTAACTGACAAAATCAAATAAGCCTCCTAGAAAATTACCATATCCAAGTTCAACACTAAATATGAAATCATAATAATACTACAATAGAAATTACATAACGATAAAATTCATCACGTGTCATAAGGATCATAATGGTATTAATTAACTTTAAAAGCTTTTTATCGTAATTTGATTTGAAAGTGACAAAATTTTAATCTGAATTTCAAAGAATTGATTTTTGTTGAAAATACTAAAGTGTATATTTTACTACATACGAATCCTTAGAATTTTTACTTTATACTTGTAATTACAACAAAAGCAATTTAATAATTAAATATTTATTAAATAATTTCTTAGTAGCACAATTAATTATGTAATATAGCAAGAAATCGCAAGAATTATTTTGGATAATTTTGTTAACCTACATATGTACAATATTATTGTTAAAATCACCTAAACAGTTTATTAGAAGCTGTAGTGAATGGATAATAGT